GGTCACCTTAAGCTCCTTCCCACCCCAGCCTCTGCACTTGCTGTCCCTTCCTTAGCACAGCTTCTCGTCTGCCTCCTCATCACCCAGGTCTTAGCTCAGGGGACACTTCCCATGACTGTCCCAGCTAAAGAGCCCCTCCCCCCGGTCACTAGCACATAACCCTGGTTGCCGAATCTCGTTGATCGCCACCTCAGAGTTTTCGTTTGTTTACTGCCCGCCTCCCCTGCCTGGAACGGAAAACAGACCTCACATGCCTCGAATAGTGTCTGGTACATAGACGGCTCTGGATAAATTCACATTACCTGATCATCTAGGTTTCATCTGACTGCCAAATTCAAGGCCTAAAATCATCCTTTTGGCTCATTCTTGTAACCTCCTCATCAGATCTGTCATCAAGTCCTACTGATGCTACGTTTCAAATATCTTCCAAATCTGGTTCCTCAGACTCCAACTAGGTGCTCAGCCGTTCACCAGACTCTTACTAGACGAGCAATTTTGTTCCCAGATCTCTTTCCAAAAAAGAATAGCAAGTTTTGGTACTTCAGCTCCCCCACCCCCACCCCCACAATGTCTTGAAATCTGCAGAATAAAGCTGAGACCCCAAGCCCCGTTCAGATGTGACCTCCTTTGTGAGCTCTTTTCCCTGCTCCCCCAGCCAGAGACCACCACGGAGGCCTGCGACCACTGTCAATTCGCTTTAGAGCCTCAGCCACTAAGGAACTGTCACACTGTGGTGTGACACAGATGCCCTGTCCAAGACTTGTGGATGGATACATGAACAAATAACCGGTCCTCTGCAAGTGCTGTTTTATGAGCACTTCTCTTCATTAAATTCTGTTTTCCACCTTCTATTTTAAACACACAATTATTTTTTCCTCTCTGTAAAATATAATTATATTTCTTAGGAGTTACCCATTAAAAAAATCTGTTGGTTTACATTATTTTTTGGCTGTCTTACAACATCAGCAAGGAAAAGTGGAATGATTTCAGTTAGTTTTCAAAAAGATATACATCTGATTAAGAAGTAATTGTTGTACCTAGCAGGAAAGATTCTCATTATTTTAATTTTTAATGGCTCTACAAGAAATGTTGAAATATTACTTTTAATGAGAATATATATGGTAAATTAGTATGGATTCTGTAAGGCTTAAAAGTCACCCTCTTCGTTGTCAAAATATGAGAACACATTTTTTCTAAGGACCCTTTGGAGGTGGCTTTTAGCATAATGAAATAAGTTTTTTGGAGAATTCAGATAAACATGTAGATTGCCTACTGTTTTCAGGGAATTGTTGGATATAGGAGATGTAAGGCTCTGTGACTCCCACTTATAGAAGCAGAAATTTTCAGCCTATTCATGGGTAACTAGAAAACTCTACCAGTCGCTATAATACAAAGTGGAATAAATACGTTCCTTAAACTCCACAACTCCAAAAATAACTGAGATTTCAATGGAGGGAGATATAGCATTAGTGAGAGTCATGGAAGGCTCCATGCATGATGTATTTTGACCTCTGAAAATTTATTCATGCAATCAAAATTGCTAAGATAAACTTTTGTGGAATGAAGTTCTTCATTAAGAGCACTTTAGAATACAGAGGCCAAGCACGGTATGTAACTTCCTTCCACGTGTGAATCTCAATGACGGATAATAAAGGGTTAAAAAAATAAATGTCATGTCTGTGCTGCACTGTAGTTTTTTTACTGGCAGTTAAAATATTTTGTTAAGTAGTCTGTGATATTTTCCCTTACACTTTGCAGCCCAAGTATACTTCAAAACTGTGCTCCCTCTCCAGTAGAGCTCTCTCACCAACATCATGGAAATTCTAACATCTAGGTGGAATATAATTTGAAAAACGGAGACTTCGTTTGGGCATCAAATAAGTTAACTTTTACAGAGTTGAATTATGAAATATTTAATACATTTATTTACATAATAAACTATGAAAAGCAGCATATTTATTTGCATTAAGTACTTAGTGGAACTTTTTACTTTGTGAAACTAAAGTACAGCATTCATTCCAGAAAACCATGATTTCTCAGTTTGTTTGTGACTCCTTCACTCCCCCTCCCCAGTTTCTCTCAATGACTGAAATTAGTTACCACTGATTTTACCCCGGTGCTCCTTGGATATGATCCCAAAGTGTTACCTCCTAAAGTAGGCGAACTTAAGGAAACACTGAACTAATGCAGTCATCAGATATAGTTTCTCTCAAATTGTGCTTCAGTCTGCATTTTAAGAGCCATTGATAACTTTTAACAGAATTCGTGTTTTTGGTGTGTGGCTCCTTTAAACCCATGTTTGGGCTTATTAAAATTAAAGTCATTAGGCTCTAGTACTTGGGG